GATGATGATGATAATTAGCGAGTGTGACGATGAATGAGAAGGTAAGCTGGTGAAGAGGTATTGGAGTTAGTGATGGCGACGGGAGGGAGAAGGGGAGTTTGGGGGTAAGCCGAGGGGGAAAGGAGTGAGTGTTTTAAGGGGCGAAGGAAATTTAGACTGTTGAATTCGAGTTACACTTTTTCCAGCTCCGATGTGGCGGATTACTTTGACGGTGCGAATCTTGAAGGGCCAGTGTTAAACGTGAAAATTGTGTTATAATGACCTGGTGATTGTGAGGGTACAAATACTCCAGAGGTCGCCGATTGGTTCGACCTCCCGGCGCGGCATTTTAAACAAGGCACACTTGTTTACATGTATGTTGAAATTATTTCGCACAACTGTAGGTACTTGCCAATCACGCTAATCGGAGGTGCAGGATGAAGAACAACAAACTGAACACAAAAGCGCAATTCCCTAGAATTCCCTAGAATTGCGCTTTCAATCTCGACGTAAACGTCCCCTCTCCTGCTGCCTGGCAATACAAATGGGTAGGCCACAGTGAAGTTGGCAAGAGGGTTGGAGAAAGTGATGGAGACGCGAGGGAGAAAGGGAGTTTGGGTGTCAGCCGAGGGAAAATAAGTGAGTGTTTAAGGGACATATGAAAAATAGAGAGTGATGCTTTCCTGTCTACCCAGAACCCAACATTGAGTTTTCTTCAGGAGGGTCCTGCCAAGTGTTTGACTGGAATAGGCGATGATTGATGTGTATACATCCAATTGAGTGATTTACATTTAAATTATAAAAAAAGACAAATTTAGACCGTGACTCTAGCACACATTGGCACACTCTTGCTAATGACATCACGGGATGATTAACATCTAACTGGTACACAGCCCTGTAAGGATGACGTCACACCTGTGCTCTTGTCCCTTCTCTAGCTCCCTGTCCATACTCGTATTGATTTTAATTTCTCTTGCTGGTATCCAAGGCCTTAAATGGACTTGCTCCTCCCTTCGGCCGCATATTCCATCAAGGTCATTAAGATCCTCAGATTGTGCATTGCTCACTATGTATTTATTTAGCGAATATAAAGTCCCTAAGCTAAGCGGTTGCTTCCGGTCCTGTTGTGTTGAGGGTGAGCAGGGCTCCACAGAGTTTGTGGATTGGACAGACTTATAAGATGTGGTGCACGGTTTGCTCCACCCCATAGGCAGGCACATAGGGGGCTCGCTCTCATGTCCCATCGGTGGAGGTTGGCGAGGCATGGGCAGTGACCAGTCCTGAACCTGTTGACGGTGCCCACTGTCCCACGGTCGAGGCTTCGCACTTGGGGTTGATCGTGACTTTGCAATTGCGGCACCTAAACTCTGGGACTCATTGCCCCTTCGAGGTCAGGACTTCCACGACACGACAAATCCTCAAATCTCGGCTGAAAATACATAAGTTTAAAATGGCGTTCTCTCTTTAGTTATTTTCAAACGTCTTTCTCGCTTCTTCTTTCTGTGGTTTATGTTAAACTATTTCCTCTTTTCCACAGCGCCACTGCGAATAATTGTTTAAGGGCACTTTGTAATCTTCTTGGTTCTTTGGGTAAAGTCACGTAGAGGGGAAATAATAAAATAATAAAAATAAGACATAATAAAATACAATTTTCACGACGTTTCGGCCACAACGCAAGCAGCAGTCCTCAGGTGAAGAACAGGGCTGTCGGAAAGACAGCGACCTAATGAACACCACCAAGCTTGGCAGCGTATATTTAAGCAGGAGTTAGAGGAGGAGAGCACCTTGACAAAGGAATTTACATATCATTCATGCGACGCTACGATCCTCGTCAATCCGTTGAGATTTTGCGGTTGTATTCGAGTTTCACTTTGTTCCATCGCCGAGCGCCGACGTGGCGAATGATTGTAGCGGGGCGAGTTTGTTTGGGGCCAGCTTTAAATGTCAAAATGACGTCATAATTACGTTGTGATTCTAAGTTTACAGTAATCCAGAGGTGGCCGGTTCGATCTCCCGGCGCGGCAGTTGAAACAAGGCCCACTTTGTTACAATGTGTGTTGAACTTCTTTCGCACCAAACTTCTAGCCAACCGTGCTCATCGGAGAAGCGGGGGGGGGACAACAAACTAAGCACGTACAGCAGCTCTAAAGAAAATCTATATTTAAATCGATATTTTAAAGCGCTTCTTCTTCTTCTGGGATGTCTCGTAGTCGAGTATGATTTCCCTCCAGGTGTCACTTGTCTGTGTTGTGAGGTGGACCTGGCTGACCATGGCTCGTTGTCTCTGGCTATCAACTCTCTTCACTCGGCCTCAAAATGCTGAGTTACATTGTTTCTTTTGGCCCTCCATGATGGTCTATCAAGAGCATAGATTTCCCAGTTGTTTGGATCTATGTGGCTTCGCTTGAGGTGCATTTTAAGGTTGTCATGGAAACGCTTCCTTTGACCTCCGGGGGCACGTGATCCATCGCTGAGCTGGGAATAGAAGATTTGCTTAGGAAGCTTCGAGTAATTCATCCTCACAAGGTGATCTGCACATCTGAGTTGATGCTTCATCGTGATGGCCTCTATGCTGGATGAGTTGGATCGCTCCAGGACACAGATATTAGTTTGTCTTTCTTCCCAGGTGATGTTTAGTGTTTTTCTGAGACAGCGTTGATTAAACATTTAGAGAGATTTTACGTGTTTACGGTAAGTGGTCCAGGTTTCTGTACCATATAAGAGGGTTGGAATGATCACAGCATTATCCACAGCCACTTCGGTGTTGGTGGTAATGTCGTGGTCTTCAAAAACTCTGTTCTTAAGTTTGCCAAAGGCAGCACCAGCTCCGATGTTGGATTTCAAAATCAATGAAGACATTTCTAGAGAGATTGCTGCCTAAGTATGGGAAACTGGGAACGTTTTCTAGTATTGCATTGTTGGTAATGATTGTAGAGGGTGGTCGGTGTCCTCCTGGAGCTTGTTCAAAAATGATCTTTGTTTTGCTGGTATTCAATGTTAGACCCATCCTGCTGTAAGCATCTGTAAATATGTTGACGATGACCTGAAGGTCAGCTTCTGAGCAGGTACTGACTTGGACATCATCAGCATGTTGGAATTCAATAACGGATGTGATTGATGTTTTCGACTTGGCTCTGAAACGGTTGATGATGAATATGTTCCCGTCTGTCCTATATGTGATATTTATGCCTCTGGGAAGTCTGTTCTCTGTCAGATGACACATTCCCACCAGGAAGATGGAGAAAAGAGTTTGTGCAATAACGCAGCCTTGCATCACACCAGTCCTTACTTCAATTGGCTCTGAAATTTCACCATCAGAGAGGATGACAGCCATCATACCGTCATGCAACAGACGGAGGACTTTAACAAATTTTGTTGGGCAGCCATATCTTGGAAGGTTTCTCCATAGTGCATCACGATTAACATAATCGATAGCTTTAGTCAAATCAAAGAAGGACATGTACAGTGGTAGTCTCTGCTCCTAGCACTGCTCTTGGAGTTGACGGGCTGAGAAGATCATGTCTGAGGTTCCCCTGCCAGGTCGAAAGACACTCTGTGATTCAAGAAGGAGTCTGTTAAGTAGGATTCTTGTCAGTATTTTTCCAGTGGTAGCAAGAACAGAGATTCCTCTGGAGTTGTTACAGTCTGACTTGTCACCTTTTTTGAAGACGGTGACAATGATGGCATCTTTCAGTTCGTTGGGAAGGTCTTCATCATTCCAGACCCTGGCCACGAGGGAGTGCAGGTGTTCTAGTAGGCGTTGTCCTCCATGTTTGTAATCTCAGCAGGAATCTGGTCTAGCCCACTAGCTTTGTTCTCTTTCATCTGCTTGACAGCTTTAGCCACTTCAAGCATCGTTGGTTCTCCAGCTAAATTCTCAGGGGTAGAGTGTTGCGGAATCTCACATAATATAGAAGCGTCTACAACAGCGTTGCAGTTGAAAAGAGTGCTGAAGTGTTCCTGCCAGCGGGAGATGATTACATTTTTGTCTTTGAAGATTTCTGTCCCATCCTTAGACTGAAGTGGTGCAAGGCCCTGTTTTGATGGTCCATATAAGACTTTGGTTGCTTTAAAAAATTAATGTGGGTTATTGGAATATGTAACATTTTATATTTCTTCTGCTTTGTTTCTGAACCAGTTGTTCTTCAGTTCCCGGATTTTAGTTTGTACTTCCGATTTGGCATCCTTATATTATTGTTTTTTCTGTCTAGACTGTGTTGTTGCCAGGCGATTAAAGTGCTTAGCTACAGTGGCTTCGTAATATCGGAAGAGTGTTCCAGACGGCTGCTTGCGTTGAACCAAATTCTGCTCGAATTATGCACTCCCAGGATGCCTTATGATTGACGGATAATGTAAACAAAACACATGTTTTTTTACACTATGGGGACCTCATTTGCCAGTAAAAATATGAAAATTGGTTCTTTACCCTTCTATCTGGCAACAAAACTGACACCTTTTTGCAAGGAGTCATGTTTGTATAGACCGCAATACCTGCAGTCATAAATACAAACAAAAGACATAACTCTGATAATGTGCACTGTCCTTGAAGTTGATTGGTCCACACCCGAGACAGCTTTCCTTCGAGCCTAAAGGCGCCTTTTGGCGTCATCTGGTCCAACCCATATGAGACTAGGCTCGAAGGAAAGCTGTCTCGGGTGTGGACCAATCAACTTCAAGGACAGTGCACATTATCAGAGTTATGTCTTTTGTTTGTATTTATGACTGCAGGTATTGCGGTCTATACAAACATGACTCCTTGCAAAAAGGTGTCAGTTTTGTTGCCAGATAGAAGGGTAAAGAACCAATTTTCACATGTTTTTTTCTTCAAATGTGGAGCAATAGATATGGGAATGAGATATACTTCCTGTTTAATAATTGTGATTGCGAGATTTCCGCAGCAATAAATATACCCACTCTCTACACGCGTGTCCAACTCTACCCCGAGCAGGAACAGCAGCGAAGCCGACCACGGGAGCTGCCCTGCCAACCATGGACTCGAGCGAAGCTCCCAAAATGAACAGCAGCATCAGCGGCGGCAGCCTCTGCCCAACAGACTGACTCCTACAAGTACCCCGTCTACTCGGCCGTCTACGGCATCGTCTTCATCATCGGGATCACGGGCAACTCGATCGCGCTCTACGTCTTCCTGCACCTGACGAGGACGAAACTGGCCAGCACCATCTACTTCATCAACCTGGCCCTCGCAGACATGTTCTTCGTGCTCATTCTGCCGCTGCGCGTCGTCTACTACGTGCGCGACGGCGACTGGCCGTTCGGGGACGTGATGTGCCGCATCAGCTCGTTCGCCTTCTACGTCAACCTCTACGGCAGCATCTTCTTCCTCACCGGCCTCAGTGTGACGCGCTACCTGGCCGTGGTTCACCCCGTGCGCTCGCTCAAGGCCGTCACGGCGCGGCGCGCGGTCATCGCCTGCGTGTCCATCTGGGTCTTCGTGGCGCTGCTCACCTCCCCGTTCCTGCTCAACGGCCAGCACGTCACGTCGAGCGGGAGGACGCTCTGCTTCGAGAGTAAGAGTGGCGGCAGCCTGGTGATGATATTGGCCATGAATTACATCGCCCTGGTGATCGGAGTCCTCGTCCCGTTCGCGACCATCGTCGCCTGCTACGTGGCCATCGCGCGCACCCTGATGAACTCCCCGATGGCACAGCGCAGAGATTCAAACGCGTGCAAGCGCGCCGTGCGGATGATCGTGCTGGTACGTATTCGACGTGCGAACCGATGATAACTGAGCGCGAACCTGGTGTGCTGCACCATTCTCACGAGTGCTACGCTACCACGGAGGCAGACGCTGTGATGCACAGACGGGCATGGTCTGCCAGTATAGAGGAGGGGGAGACGATTGTGCTCTGCGGATTTTTTCTGGGTGACGTTGCATTGAGAGTCATTTTTCACAGTGACGTCGGCGCACGTGGCCGATTTATTTTCTCGTATAACGTCACAAATGTAACGATTAAAATACCACGCAGTGTTAACCAGGGTGGCCGCTAGGATCGAACGGCGAACCACTATCTGCAACAAAATACAGCTGGACACTTCAAAGAAGTGGCACCTTTATTCTATATCACCCAATTATCCGATCGCTCCACTGTCTCCCAATCCAATGACGGATGAATTTAAGTACCACAAAATTACAATCTTCAAGATTCTCTGTGGACAACTCTATCGACCTTTCTTGTCTCAGCTCACTCTGTTTCCCTCTGTGCACTCCCCTACCTCTCTCCTTTCATCTCACTCTCTTCCCCCTCACCACTCTCCTACCTCTCCCATCTCATCTCGCTCTATTCCTCTCTGCACACACTCTCTGTTCTGATATTCAAAACTTTCTGCCAAAGTCCTCAGTTAATCTCAGAATCAAAATCTGTATTCATATTGGAGGAATACGATAAGCTTTAAAGCTCTTTTTCACAAATGTCCAGTAGCTTCACAGATGTTCTTTCAGTGGGAGGTTTCTCATTCTCTTCTGCTGTTCCCAAAGCCTGGAGCTCTGTCCAGGCTTTGGGAACAGCCCTACCCCCTCTGCACCCCGCCCCCACCACCTCCCTCTACAATATGAACGCGTCCACTGTTTTCAGAGAGCGTCACGAGATGCGATCGCATTTAGACCCGCCTGTCGCAATCCGCATTTTGTTGTTACACGAACTTCACGGTGTGAAATCATTCATTGGGCGTGATCTTAAGAAAAATTAACCCGTAAAAACAAAGTTTTTCACTCTAAATCCTTTATATGCGTGGAATCGGTTTTATTTTATTATTCATTTCTGTTTTTCTTGAGTAAGAGTTTCATTTGTATCACATTGGTATTTTAAATTAAATATGAAATTTTTTTCCTAAAATGTGGAAAATTTTGGAAACATTTTTCACGAACATTAATTGTCTCGCACAACGAGTCTGTGTGCAAAATGTCAGCTCGATTGGATCACGGGAAGTGGGTTAAAAAACGACCGAAAGATTTGCACGGTCATAAGCACGCAAGCAAGCGAACTTAATATAAAGGATTTAAAAAACAAGCACGTCGTTGCACGCACCTCCATGTCGCCTCAATGCGACAGACGGCTCGTTCGGTTTGTATCAAAACGTGGAATGATTCCATGCCGGTGGCGATCGCAATGACATCGATGATGAGTTCGTGCTGCAGGTGCTGGCCGTGTTCGTGGTCTGCTTCATCCCGTACCACGTGCAGCGCACGCTGCTGCTCCACAAGCTCATCAACCGCCACAGCAGCTGCGACACGAAGCTCTACCTGCAGAAGTCGGTGGTGGCCACCGTCTGCTTCGCCGCCTTCAACAGCTGCCTCGACCCGCTCATCTACTTCTTCGTCGGCGAGAAGTTCCGCGAACGGTTCATGAGCGCCGTGCGGAGGTACGCAACGAGATTTGGACTTGCTCGGGTGTTTTTCGAGGTGGCGCACTGCACAGCTCTCTCCCATGTGTTGTCGCGTTTTATACTGGTAGGAACCTCCTGGTTACACCAGCCCACAGGGGATTATTGTGTCTGTCGTGCAGGGAGGGGCTGGGTGGGTAGGGGAGGGTGGGGCTGGCTGGGGAGGGGCTGGTCACCCTGTGGTGCCCTTATAAAACTCAACGTTTAACCTACTCACGCCGGCTTGTGCCCGCCCACCATGCCGTCGTTGACCCTGACCATTGACCGAGCAACCCGACGTTCCTACCAGCTCCCTCCGCAGGAATGTGTTCCTTCGGGGCATAATGCCCTGACGTTTGACCTCACGTGCCGGAGAGCTGTTTTAGGAACTGAGTATCTGTTCTCAGTTTGATTGATGGAGTTGCCCAAAAGTGAACTGGGGACTAAGATGCTGCTGTAGACGCGACCTTCAAAGTGGTGCAAGAGGGGTCATAGCGGAACAATTGGTGCCTCCTCTCCCCCTGGAGGCCAGAACATTTGGTATTTTGTTGTAAGATGCTGGATAAATTGTATTGTATAAGACTAGCAACCCATACACGTTCTTTGGCCGTGTCTGTCCATCCTTCCCAGCCAAAAAATCTTATGTCAAGCCCTGTTTCTCCCCACATTTCTCTTGCCTTCTGTACATCACAATTTATTGTGTTGTCTATTTTTTATCTTTGTGTCTTTATTCCTTTCCACCCTCCGTCTACCTCTCCTTCCCTCTCTCTTCCCCCTCCACTCACCCACTTAAATTGTGAACTACATTTTGTATTCTATCAGGTAAGGCCCACTGAGCCTCATAGCTATTTTTTAACAAGCGACCTTGCCACAAATGATAGCTCGACAAAGTGGCTTATCACGTGGACATTGATATCAGCTAAATATGTAGAGGGGGAAACCGGAAGACCCGGAGAAAAATCCACAGGATGACGGGAAGAGTAACACGCAAATCTCCAAATATACAGGTGTCAGGGTCAAACACAAAACCTCTAGGCAAGGGAGTTAACATCTCACCACCGCAGGGCTTCCCTCTCCCTATCTCCCTGTTTCTCTCACCTCTCACCATTGCTCTCCTCTCCCTTTCCTCCTTTCCTCCCACTGCTTGTCGCTTTCCCTCGCTCTCCCCTTCCCATTTCTCTCTCTCTCGCTTTCCTCTACGATTCATGCCCTTTCGCTCTCTCTCCATCGCTCTCCTCGTTGTTACAGATGTGTGTGATAACTTCAACCACCGCACGCAAGGAATCTCGCTATGCAGGCAGGAATACAGCCATCAAATAAAGTATAGTTAATGTAGGGCCCTATTTAAAAAGTTTTACATTTAGGGACCAACCCTTCCTTTCTAGCCCCTCCCTGGGAAGTTTCGAAATCTATCTCTGAGGAATGGTGACCACGTTTTAATTTGACATCATGCAGGCAGATTCCTGCAAAAAATACACACACATTGGACACATTGCAGAGGTGGTGTAGCCAATACCTTGCCCAACCACCTTTATCTTCCTAGTGCTGTTAATGACTGCACCAGGTACTCATGTAAAGCTAGGTTGACCTAGGAAGAGAGGCCCAACACCTGTTCTGATATCACACGACACTGAAGTTAGCCATAGCGGTGAATCGAAATAAGGATGCCGAGTTCATCTGTTTCCTACTCACAATGTCTCTCACTCAAGTCAACGTTGCTTTCGCCCAGAGTTGCAAAGTCTTCTGGGAGAAGAGCAGCACCCACGTGCCGGATATTCGGGTGTCTCCCTCCTCTCTGCGTGCTGTGCAGTGCATGGCCAGCCAGCCAATTTATATATAAGATAGAGTACCATCATGCCCTCTTCACACCCTCCCTTGCTTGTATTGCTGATAGATGGAGTGTCCCTCCCATGTTCACGCACGAAAAATGTTCCCCTCCAACAGGCGCTCACGAATCACCTCCGCCACCAGCTCCGTCCGCCCCAAAGATCCCCTCGCCAGAAGCACGACCAGGGATGCTGCCAAGCTTCACATGCAGCCACTCGAGGGCGATCCTCTACAGAAGGAGGAGCCGCAAGAGGAGACCGACGAGTGACAGGCGTCTGAGTGAGACTCCGCACCAGACGAGTGTTCAGCGATAGATGCCCAACGCTGGCTGGGGAAACAATGAATGATGATTGTCTTTTACCATATCGATACCACGCGTGTGATGATTGTTGTACCGTGCAGCTATGATTATTCCACTGCTGGATGAAGGCGCTTCCCAAGCCACTGCTAACTCTCGGCATCCTGCGATGTAATGATCCACATAGCACCCGCACAAGAGCTGATTTCATCGCTCCATCTCCTTACTCAAGGATTAATGTCGTAATGCTGAACCCCTAACTTTTTAATATTTAATTTTATACATATTGGTGGCCGTTTTGTATTGCTGTACAAATGTATACTGTTGAACATTTGCTTGTGTCCATGTGGACAGTCTTGTCTTTTCACATCTGGATAATTTCCTCTCTACGTCGTTCGGGTCGTGCGGATCGTTTGACCATACTTCCCCACGTTGGTCAGTGCAAGTTGGTGACAGTGGTGATCATAGACGTGGGAGATGGGATTGGTAAATTATGTGTACCCAGGACCAGTTCTGATATTACTCACCACGAAAGTTAGTCGTGGCCTATTTGATCAATTTGCTGCTTTTCGAATTGGTTTTACCCGTGCCCATCTCTGCTCATGCATTGTTCCATCAATTTTTGTAACATAAAGTACATTTCACCAACATCTGCATCTGATACATTCTTAGTGTACGTTACTGAAACTATAAAGTCCCCTTACCAAGACAACTCGCGTGGACTCCATGGCATGTACTGTAGAGTGTATGTATTTTGCAAGAAAAAAAACCTAGCTTTTATCATTTGTATTACTTTGCATTTTTTATGTTTCAAATACGTTTCTGTGAGAATAAAATTTGCATTTTACCTAAAACATTTGTTATACTGCTTTTGTATATCTATAATAATCGATATTTTTTACACACTTTCTATTAACTCACTCTGTTGTTGTTGTCGTATTCTCAAATCTTGTAACTCAATTTTAACCCACTTCCCAATGTGGTATCGACTGCAAATTTGGTATACTTATGTCATAATGATGACAATACTATATTCTATCATAAAAATAAAATGAAAATATTTTTAAACAATCTTTTTTATATGTTATGTTTCGCCTTGGGTCTAATTGTCCACGCTCAACTGACGTTGGCTGTAAATCACCACAGTCACTTACGTTATGGCAAGCTTCGGGGTCACTTCATGGAGTCGCGGAGTTCTACCATTCAATTGGCAGGTTGCACAATGACTATTGGTTAGATGACCCCATGTTTCATATTCATTATCAGCATTCTTTACAACACACGCATACAGGTAAGTTACGTATTCGATTCACGTTTCATAGGCGAATGCAGTTCCACTATTCATACTCAGTCAACGCAAATGAAAATATATATTGCATGGTTTTACCTTTACTTGTTAATGAAGTCCATTCACCTATCCTTCTGGACAAAGATGTCATCCCTGTCTCAATAGAGACGATTGCCAGGGATGAAAGTGGTCCTTGGTCAGTCTGATTCCGACTATACGTTTCAAGTCGTTTCAAAGCAGAGAACGACCTTTCAATGGACGCTGTTGTAGCTGGTATAGTGAGCACCAGCTGGAGTAACTTTGTCGCATCGGGAACCGTCTGCATCAGATCATTCTGGGCCAAAAAGCTGAGGAGCTGTCCGGGTGATTTGCATTCGTTCATCACCATTTGTGAACTATACAATCCGATAATATCAGTCTTTAATCTAACAAAGTCAAAGTACCTTGCATATTTTGATAGGCCCTGCAGTTTGGTGTCATCGACATGTTGTGACATTTCATAAAATTTCGTGTAATCGACCAAACCAAGGAAAGTTAGCTCACCGAAATGATCAAAGCCTAACTTTCATTTTGTTCTGCCTCACGGCAGGAGTTTTGCCTCACGGCAGATGGGGGGTGGGCATATGTACACAGGAATTTCCTGTTTTTGATGCTAATTTTTGGTCACGTGACCAGGAAGTTGCGATTTAAGATTCCCGCTCAACCACGTGGGCGTCGGCCATTACACACATAATTCAAGATGGCGGCACACATCGCGTACCAGTGAAGCCAGCTGCAATTATCCATTGTGGGACTTTAAGAAGCATTATCTGTAAGCTCGTTTATGTTCTTATGATATTGGCAATGCTGTTATAATGTTAGAATGACCGTTATAATGATGTGAATGCCTTTATAACGCTGTTAAATTGTTATGATGAATACGAGGCCTAGTTAACAACGAAGCCTGCTACTTTCCTTATTGTGAATGTTACTTGTAATTGAATAAGTCGAGTCAAACTTTTACCCAAGTAACTATATTGCGATCCTGAGAGCAAGGATGACGAAATCTCATCCACAATTTAGTGTTATATGTAATACTGTACATTTGGGGTGCAGTGTGATGAATACACGATGTGCCTTTATGTAACACAGCAGCTTATGCTCTTGTATAGTTATTCAGTGGTAATGTAGGGGCCTGGTCCATCCAGGGTCTATTGTTGAGAAACATGTTATCTAAGACAATGTTCTGATGCTGTGGTGTTCATTCATTATGTTGGTGTTTCCGGGTTATAACAGATGCTGTATCTGCTGTTTTCTCACCAGTTTTACCTCGATAATTGGATTTTTACCCTTCTATTTTGCAACAAAACTGACACCTTTTTACAAGGAGTTGTGATGCCGCCGCCACGAAGCCGTTCGGCAGGCACCAAATCCCCGACCTCGCCACCACCAAGCAACGGAGCCGACCCCGCGTCCCCCTCACCTCACCTCACATGAACACACCCGCACTCATTTCCCCCCCCCCCCCCATAGAGCTCCGAGGGGAGGTCGCCTGGCCGACCGGTTTTTATCCGAGAGACCCTTATCGGGATTAATTCTCACGGTTTC